AGATATGCTTAACTAATATCCAAGCAGAGATGCTGAGTGATCAGGTCAGTTGGATATAGGAATCTGAGTTAGGGATAGGTCAAAGTTAGAGATATAAACACACAAACACACGTGTATGTATGTGTGTATATATATGTGTGTGTGTGTGTGTGTGTGTGTGTGTATATATACATGTGCAGTATCAATTCATACTATTTAAAACCATGAAACTGGGGGCCAGTGGATAGCGTGATGGTTAAGGCACTGGACTTCCACATGGCCGACTGCAATTCAAGTCCTGGACCTGGCAGCTTCTTGCTCTCTCTCTTTTCTCTCTCTCTGGTGAGTGCATGTGCCCTATAGGAAATTAAATAATAATAATAAATAAAACTAAATAATTCTTAAAAAAAAAAAAAAACACGAAACTGAATGTAAAGAGAAGCAAGTTACACTGAATCCTCTGGTGTATGAAGACTTAGCAGGTCAAGAAATTAGGAAAATTCAGAGAGATAGAGAAGGCGGGGACACCGAGGTAGGAGTACTATTGCACTAAGAGTCCAAGCACACTGAAATCTAAGTGAAAACGGAGTAAAATTCAGAGCCTTTCTTGAATATTCATTCATTCAAAAGACACATATTGAACACTGACTACCATAAACAAAGATGCCCCCTGCTCTCATGGGGACTGCAACCCAAGTGGGAGACAGACAAATGAGGAAGTACTATTCCCAGTAAAGTACAGAATCTTTTGGAAAAATGGACTAGAAACAACTAATCCAGTCTTGAAGAGTAAAGGAGGCTACCCTGAGGAAGTGATGTTGAAGAAAAGCCCAGAATGATAAGTAAAAATTACTGTTGGAGGAGAGGGCAAAACAGGAGGGGAGAGTGGAAGGGAACAGAAGGAACAATGGAAGAAAACGGCATTGGTGAGGTCCTGAAGCTAAGAGAGAGACAATGCAGTGTTCTAGAGGACCTCACAGGAGTTCAGTGCAGGAAACATGGAAAGAACAGGTGAGACAGGAGGTGCGCCAGATCACTGAGGTCATTTAAGACTTCTGGGTAGCAGTTTAAGCTTTATTTCAAAGGCGATGGAAGCCGAAAACTTTTTTCTGTGGTTAAGGTAAAGCTCAGCTTAGTGTCTCAGGAGGATCCCTCCAAGTACAGTAAAGGCAGAGCTCTGGAAGGGGACAGGGCAGGGTTAAAAGACACCTGTTTCTGTGGTTCTTTGGCGAGACAATGAACCATCACACTCAGGTAGTGGCAGTGGGGATCTGAAAAGCAGACTCAACAGGATTTGGGATGTGAAGAATGAGGAGAGTGAAGTACAGAAGGTGGTGGCTTACTTTTTGACCTGGACAAGTAATTAGATTTACTGCAGACTGATTTTACTACTCACTAAAATAAAGAGCACAAGAAGGTTGGAGGTAGGGGTAAAATTTATTGAGTTTGCAATGCCTGTGGGCTAGCCAAAATATGGTCCAGCAAATAAGCAATTAGCTATACATGTCAAAAGGTCAACCATAAAATCTAATATAGGGTTGTAGATTTGGAGACACCAGCAAGTACGATAGATTAAAACCAAGGGTTGGGGGGGTGTCAGATAAAACCCAGAGACTGAGAAAAGCAGAGGAATGGAAAGATTTGGCTCTGGATAAAACCAACATGAAAGAGGTAAGCAGAGGAAGAACAGAGAGGAGTGAGAGCAAGAACCATGAAAAAGAAGAAGGAAACTGGGACAAAACCGAAGTGTGCAGTATTCCAGAAGGTCAAGTCAAAGCATGGTTTCACATGAGGTCATTCATAGAAAATGCCCTATCTTATTGTTCACATGATTTCAAAGTCAATCAACAAATATTTTTCACCAGCCAAATACAATCCAGTCATAGAATCATCTTAGCCTACACAGAGAAAAGTCTAGAAATGAAATAAGTTAATTTGTAGTCATAAATAAGTTTGTTTTAATAAAAAACAGTGAAAGTGCCAGTGGACACTAGTAGGGACTACAGGCAAAAAGTGGAGTAAACATCAAAAATGGAGAAAATTATGTGGTTTACAAAGCTGAGTGAATGTTTTCACCTCTTTAGTTAAAATAAACAGGTAAGGCAAATTGAACCTTAAAGCATGAATCTATGTTGTACAGAAGGGAGTAATAATAACACGGAGGATTCAAAGGAAGAGTGCATGTAAAGTGATTTCATAAGCAAAGTTAGTCAAGGCTGGGTGTCAGATACATCAGACTATACACACCCCACAAAACACTTATGTGGTTCACAGTGAAGAAAACCAGTTTTGAAAAATACATTCTTAGATGTGTAACGTATATAAAACTTTATGAATATAAGATATGTCATTCTTCCTATACAAAGAAATTTCAAAAAGTTCATGGAAAATGGAATTAAAGTATAAGTTAATTTTGATCCCCCCCCCCAAAAAAATCAAAATCTATGCATGGTTTTTTCATGAAATTTTTGAAGACCCTTCAAATAATGACAGTATAGTCTACTAAATTATCACAGTTCCTTATTTGAAGAGGGCTGTTGGTTATTTGTTTCTGAGCATCCCAATATATTCTTGGGAGGGGGTGTCTAAATATATTCACACATTAACAAAATTACATTGTAATGCTTAAGATAAACAAGAAATCTCTGACTGTTTTTTGACAAACAGATCTATTCACAGAAGGTGGAGTTAACTAATCAGATAAGACATAAAAACAGACTCTTATTAATTCACTACATTGATTTCTTCTGTCCTACAAAGTTAGTTTTTTTTGGTTAATTAGCAGCATTAATGCTAAAATGTTCATCTCTTGGTTTGTTAAAAACATACATAAATTTATTATTTAAACATTTAGAAACATATCTTTTTTAAAAAAATTAAGAATGACAACACTACTCTAGAAATAGCTACAATAAAAATTAAGCAAAAAAGTTAAATGCGGTGTTCAAAAATATAACTTGACCAACCCAAAGTATTCTCATGGCAACTCCTTTTCTACGACAAAAAAAAAAAAAAAAAGCATAAGCTTTAATGTGCATCTAAAGTTATGGGAGATAAACACACATCACAACGAAACAGAGACAATAGTCACACAAGTTTTCCTCACTCCGTGCTGAGGTGTTCAAGTGTTTCTGACAGCATACAGCCCCATTTATTTCTAATTCTACATGGACTACAGCCAAAATATCTACCTAACCTTTAAAAAGTCAACTGACATTGTAGTTTAATACCAAACTTAAGTACTGTATATATTTTTTTTAATGTGAGTGTTCTGCTCTGTTCATTCCCAAACTGGAAACAATATAGCCATGCCAGCACTAAGGTCCAAATGACAACAAGTTTCCCAGCCCTTAAAAAAATTCGTAACTGTCACTGTTAATGAAAGCCAAATGTGCAACTAGCTGGAAGCTCTGCTTTCTAGCCAAGGACAAGATAAGTCTAAATTCCTGGTTTGGGGGCATCTGCCTGAATGGAAAAAAGAAAAAAAAAAAAAAAACCTAATAACATTAGTTCTTGCAAATATAATGCAAATAACATGCTAATTAAAGTATTCACAAGACAATGACAAATAAGGCTTTAGGACCACAAACACAGTAGTTATTATGTAACTACAATACACATTAAGCAATCGCCAAGTTGTAGGTAGGCCTTCCAAAAGGAGTTATTATGGTTTACCATGATCAGAGGATTGTGCTGTTACACTTAATCATGCTTTTACATGCTCGCAGGTGTTTACAAATGTCAAGAAGTAAAACAATGGTTCTAGGTAAACCTACGGTTCTGCCTTAAAAAAACGGTAAAACAGCACCCAGTATCTCACAGCGTTTTCTGTATCCGCTTTCTAATCCTACATGAAGTAAACTGCACAAAGCAACGTTCTTTGCATACTGTATGAACCAAAATTTAACTGCTGAATCATTTTTATGAAAATCCCAAAACTCACACACTTAAAACTAGACCTTGTTTCACGAAACCATGAAGTTAAAATTCCATACTTATGAGACACAAAAGAAACAGTGAAGAAGAGAAGCTTCATTTGGGCGTGCAATTATCAGCTGAAGTAAGCTTCAGCCTTTCAATAAAAATACAGGCGTCTCAAAAGTAATGTTTACAGGATCACTATATTCAGTATATTTAACAAGCCAATTACAGAAACCATCCATAAGAAAGTAAACGCAATATATTCATTATAGAAATAAACCACACACAGTCCAAACACGATGAGGAAAAATTTTTTTCAAAGACAGTGAAGGCAACAGGGTAGATAGGTGCCATAAGTCAATGAATTTTCCATGATTTCTGTCCTCCCTGCTCAAAAAATTTCTGGGTTCCTGGAGTAAAATCTTGTGGGTGCTTTGAGAGATGCCCGTCTGAGCAGCAATGGAAGGCACCTGGCACCTAGAGCACCTGCAGCACTTTTGAGCAGGGAAAGGAGGGCATACATGAAAGAACGCTAAACGGAGATTTTTCAGGGATTTGGAATTACAACACCGGAAGGTCCTTTTCCAAAGATGTGCCTCAACTGTCCAGGTGAAAAGACTTCACTTTCTACACAACAGGGAGGTCTGCAGCAAGAGACTAAGTTCCAGGTGTAGCAAGCGCCCCACCAGCTGCTCTCTCCACCTGAGGAGCAAACCCTGGACACACACACCCCACGTGCACAATGCCACCCTCAACTAGCTCAACTCGAAAACGCTGGAGGCAAGGGACTGATGGAACACGGATACTCAGGTGCCCTACTGTCAGGCTTAGCGTATTCACAGCTTCCAGGGATGGGAGAGTTCCGTGCCCTGGGAAGGGGTCACCAAAGGGTGGGAGACATTCTTGCAAAAGCACTGGATATCCTAGGAAACAAAACTGGGCAGAGCTTCCACTCGCTACTGGTCAACCTGGGAGGGGCACTCCCACCGACCAGCTCAAAGCCCCAGAAAGCCCCTTCTGAGTCCCGGGGGCAGCTTCCCCAAGACGCCCAGAGACGCGAGCCACCGCCCAGCCGGCCTAAGGTGCAGCCAGAGCCTTACCTCACAGGCGGGGGCCCCGAAGGCCTTGAGTTTGTCACCATCTCCCTCAGGCAGACCAGTCCGACGTGTGGCCATCATTTCATTTCAAATGACAAAGAAGGGATAAATCCTTTGGAGTCCACATTGGGGAGAAATGCCACGAACACACCAAAAAGGGAAGAAATGCACACGGGCTCCCAGGGCTGGTGAAACAATGTGCCAGGGAATGAAGGCTTTCAGGAAGTCCCTTCTATGCCGCGATGATGTCCGGGGACTTCAATTGACTTCGCCTTCTTCCATCTCCCTCGACTTAAAAACAAAGGCGACAGGTCTTCTTGGCAGCCACAGCAAAAAGCAGTCACCTTCTCCTCGGCGCTACCCCCGAGTCCAGGAGGAATCCGAGTGGATCGTGGAGGCTGGAGCGTCAGCTCCCAAAGGAATCCTTCCTGGAACGGCAAGAAGTTAAAGGGCGTGAACTTTCTCTAGACGCCGAACTTAGCCTTGCCACGGGTCTACACCAAGGTCGCCTTCCCGACCCCGGGAGCGATGACCCCGGGTAAACCGATGACCCACACAGATGAAAGATGAAATAATTCTCCCATTAAAAAAAAAATAAAAAATAAAAGCTTACAAATCTGCGAGGGGAAAAAAAAGAAACCTTGGAACTGAGGGTGGTTGCGTCCAGCACGCCGGTCTGCGGTGCAGCCTTCAAGAAAAACACTCCCTGTTCAAGTGCACTTTCATGACGGTTTCCTGGGGAGTGCAGAGGGCGTGTGCACGCGCCTCGGCATCACCCAGATACGGACACTTCAGGGAAGTTTGCTCCCCACGGGGCCAAAACGGGGTAACACTTTTCTACCACCCTCCTCGCTTCCCTGCTCCTCCCAAAACCCAGACAAAAAGCCAGCCTCCGCCC